GAGCAGAGTTGAAATCCTCTGTGAAACCGCTGGAAAAGGTATGTGGATGGGAGGGAGGGGGAGAAATTCAAAATTAATGTAATTTGTAAGTAATTGTATTATTGTAAGTAATGTGTGTGTCTGTGTCTGTGTCTGTGTGTGTCTGTGTGTGTGTGTCTGTGTGTTTTACCCGCCTCTGCTGGCGCGCAGGTTGGCACTTTTTTTTTAATGTATCGGAACCATTCCCATAAATAAACGCATTTATTGGGCAGTAGGAAATCCCTCAGCTGGTGGGAAGTATCTGAGTTGAATTTGGCAACCCAAAACTGTTACAGCGAGGAGGCTGACCATTCAGCAGGCATGTTTATAATCATTTTCCATTTCCTGTCTAAGGGGAACCACTTTAAGTGTGGGGTGTCTTCATTAATATAATCTGCCCCTTTCTCCTTCTGATGCTGTTTTGTAGGAGAGGGGAGAAAGATGGGTTCTCCCTTGGTCTGGTAGAGCTCTTCCGAAAGCCCTGGCGCTGTGTCCGCCATAGATGCGGGATGCCTCTTTGTCTGACACAGCGGCGGGGCGTCCGAACACCCTGCTGCTGTGTCCGACATAGGATGGGTTTTGCTGGCTTGCCTCACCAGCCATAAACCTCACCGCACGTCACTGTTGCTGGTTCTCCAAACTACTCAAAATTTCCGCTACTGATTCTCCAGAACCTTTCAAAACCTACTGAATTTCACCCCGCTTTCACTGTAACATTTTAAAGTGGCCCAATTTAATATAGACTCCTTATAAGGAACCACTTATCTTCAATATTATTCTAGGGCATCTAATATTTCAGAGGACTCATCTTGAAATTCTAACGTTCCATCAAAATGGCATCTAGTTGAGCATAAGATTTTCAAACAATTATCTGCCTTTTCAAGATTTGAACAATACAAACTTACCACATGGAAGACTCCTGCTGCTTTGACAGGCCTAAAACCTTTAAGAGGTGCACAGCGATCTGCATGGCCGTTGCAAAAACAGCTCCCCTTCACAATAAAATCATAGATTGCATAGTAAGTTAGCTGCGGTGGGTTTGCATTCAGATCGTTGCTGTGACATGGGCAGGATTGTCGCTTTAGCAGTTGCACTCGAAGGTTCGTGATTTTCAACTGTGCCTGAATTTTAAGACTGTAAGGGTCATCAGCAGGGTTTGGAGGTGACAGAGCTCGATATATAACCTGAAAATAATAAATAAATTGAAACTAATAAGTGAAATAAAACAAGTATGCCGACTAGAAATTTAAAAATGTTTGTGTAGAAGATGAACAGGCTGAGCCCGAGGGAGGGGTTACATGCATGATCAGTCTCAAGTCTCTTTGCACCCACAAAACATCTAAATCTACCCCACCTTGAATTCTGTTGAGTCTTCAACAGTCAATTTGCTTTGACCATTAGTAGTTCAGATTCTTGAAGAAGTCTTAGCATATATTCATTTGAACTGCCTTGACTCCTGATTTCTTGTGCCTGACAGCTTGTAAAGACAACTGTTAGCACCTCAACATAGTTAGAGCAAGATATAGTTTCTTGCAGATTTCATTTATTGAAAGCCTGTGACCTCTAGCCTTTATTTACAATGATTTTAGGTTTTAGATTTTAAGATTGTCATTGCATGAGGATTTTTAGTGTTGGAAAAATGCCTTTGAATGAACCAGTAATAAAGCTCCTAGCTTTGTCCTGTCCTTGAGGCTGTAGAATATTTTACTAATGAACAAGATTTTGTTCGTTTATGAAACAGAATTACTAGCTTGGCTTTCTTTCCTTAATAATAAAGGAATCACACATTTGTATCTATGTTAATCATGAAACACATAAGATCTAGATCCATGGCGGGGGAGAAATAATTATCACCTAACTTTCTGCTGAATAATGCTGCTTTAGTTTAGTTTCAATGTACACTACAAATGTGAAATTTAAATACAACCTTTTCATCTATAACAATTCTTTTGCCATCATAATCTCTGTTTCTGAAGTAAGGATATAACAAATATGTTCCAATAATATCTCAACTTCATCTGAGTATATGTATTCTGTATTAAGCTGTAGTAGGAGAAGCATGTTACGTGTCCATTGAAGGCTGTCTTCTGGCAGAACCCAGGAAGAAAGACTTATCTGTTGTACCACCTTTTCTAGAGAATATCATTCCACATCCATCACCCCAAGAGATCAGATTGTCTCTGACATTGAAGGCTCTGAAAATGTGGTTATGTTCAAGGCATGGAATTCAGTTGGAGCCTGAGCACTGAATTATTTCAGTGAAATAATTGTATTGAAATTGTTGTATTGATGATTCCCTCTCCCTCCCTCTCTCCCTTCCTCCCTGTCACTTTTTTTTTAAATCGCAGCAGCTGATTGATATTTTGAATTTTGTTTGGGTGTATTTTCTGCTGTTTTTTTTGTTGTTTTTGTTTTTACTAGCTACCCAGATCTGCTTGTTTGAGGCAGGTGGCCTTGTGAATTAAAGAAACCAAACCACATAAATAAGTTCTGCAACCAAACATACTTTGAAACCTCAAAAGACTTATGTCGTGCCATTATGTTTTTCTGAATATGGTTGCAACTTCTGTCTTAATTTTCCACAGATGATCCATACAAATTGAGCCTAACCACTGGCTCTTTCTTTCAATTCTATAGTATATGATAAATTGCAATCAGTACTGTAAGTCACCAAAACCAGGTATGGATGTCAGATACAAAAGACCAGGACCACATATGAAGTTCCAATTACACTAATTTATTGCTTATGCTTATGCACAGAAATGTACTCAATGAATGTTTAGCGCTATTTTGGTGCTGGATAAGGATTAACAGAATTCAAGGAGGGATTGGATTTAGTCCATTTAGTCCATGACTATATAGAGATTCAGGTTGATTCCTCTCTTGACTCCACCCCAACATTCTGCCACAACTTCGCCTATAATGGAAGACGTAATCACAAGGGTTCTATGGAAAAGATCTTTTAGGTTAGATAAGGTGGTTCCAGGAAATTTCAATGAAATAAGTAGATAAATATAAATATATGTATAGAAATATAAATAAATAAATAAATAAATAAATCAGCACATCTTATTTTAAAAACCATAAATTAGTTTATTCTCATTACCCATGCCAATATATATTTGGTGGAGCAAGTGAGGGAACCCTCTTGTGTTATTTAAATCCATTTTTTAAATAATAAGGTGATGTACAAATTGACATACAAAACTGATGCAACCCTTGTCCAAAGCCTTTGCAATGGAATGATTTAGTTGGGTTTCTGATTCTACCAGCACACTGAATTGTCAGATTGTTTCATCTTCTAACTACTGTAGAGATACGGTGTTGATTTCAAGATCTAATCACTTTTTCTTAATCAAGATTCTTTGTTGACCCAGTATTGGCTTCCTTTTGAACTACCAAACTTTCCTTAAAACTGGGGCCACTTAGGGTGGGAAGGGTTGAAAGAGAAAAGAAAGGATTTACATCATTTACATTTCTGAACAGAATGAATGAAGCCTGCTTTTGTCTATTCTGTCAGCATGCCAAATTTGGCAGAGGCCAATGTGACAGAGACAAACCCAACTGGATATTTGAATGCCAGCAAGCATGACTTTAGAACATATCTAAGTGTTTTTATCATATACAATAATAATAAAAATAATCTGTTTGGTACATGTCAGTGTGCCAATTTGTAAATCAAATATTTTCTTTTGGGTGCATTGAAATGAGATTTGCTGTATGTTGTAAAGAATAATAATGCTACTGTATTTCTTTAGATACCAAGGGAGAAAGAAACAACAATGAGAAATGCACTGGGAAAACGATGGTCATGGGTTGTGTTGGACCTGAGTAAAAATGCTGAATCATTGGCTGGTGATTGAATAAATGGTAACAAATTTCAGAATGTGGTCCCTAATACATATGTTTCTATACTTAACCAAATAAAGATTGAATTAAACAGATATGAAAAATCGCAGCTCCCAAACCTGTGTACAAGTCTGAGTTCTATTTCAACATATGTTCCCAACTACAATGAATTTTTAGCAATTATGGAACACGCAACATGTCTTAATATAAAAAAGAAATTAGAATTGTCTCAAACTGCAAGATAGTGGCAAATAAATTCAATAAATAAATAAACAAGCAAATAAATAATAAAATAGTTTGGAACCTAATAGAATGTTAGACAATTTCTTTTTTGCTAAATGTGGGAAATTCATGTTTCCTTTAATTAAAAATAATCTGCATTGTATGTTTTTGTTCTTTCTGCATAGTTTATTTTTAAAAAGCAGATTTTTAAGAGAAAAAATAACATTGCTACATACAATAATTCATATTGTTCCTAGTTTTATTAATCTCTATTATCTGCATTTTATAAATGAAAGGGTAGTAGCAATCACCATTTATAAAGGGAAAAGAGAACTTGTTCATTATTTTGTGACTTCATTTTAGTAATAAAAATAATTTGTAGCATTTGGCAGAATTCTGTACAGACTTCTCCATGCTAATCAAACTCTAGAAAATACATTAAAACAGACAATTAAGATTACTAGAAGTAAGGCATCAAGTTTAGCATCAAAAAAGGAATGGAAGTATCTTGGTGTTCCTGCTTGGGAAGAATATATAGTTTCTTACAGCATAGCTCTTCCTTCTAAGAGGATCCACAAAATAACAGTTAATTCAAGATTAGGTGGCCTTTCTCTATCACCATCACTGCCTGCCCATTTTCCACATTGCTTGCCTGGAGCTACAAAATAGGCTGGGTGTTGAAAAGCTATTGATTTATTATTGCCTTTTCTGAAAAGTCCAGTATTGCTCCCTTTTATCCTCACTACCTGGGTGTTTTGCTAAGCAATTATCTATTGATTTTTGCTTTCAGCAGTGGGATTGCTGTTATTTCAGGCAATGAAAATAACAGCCTCCTGAGTGTGTGTCAGTACACTGCCAATACCTCCTACTTAGTGAGGTGGAGACAACAAAACAGTGCCTTGCAAATTAGTTTCAAGTTTGTATTTTATATACATAGAATAGCATGAACATCATTGCGGTAAATCTGAGTTTTGGCTATGCTTGTGGCCCGACAAGCCAAAATATGCCTGAGCTGACCAATATTTTCTGTACCGCCAGCAGAAAACGATAAAACAAAATTAAAATCCACCCATCTTTGATACATAAAGCTTGGTTAATTTATTTACAGTAATTTTAAAGATAAGAGAACAGGTTTTTTTAGGTAAAGTTCCCCTCGCACATATGTGCTAGTAGTTCCTGACTCTAGGGGCCAATGCTCATCTCCCTTTCAAAGCCGAAGAGCCAGTGCTTTCCGAAGACGTCTCCATGGTCATGTGGCTGGCATGACTAAATGCACACGGAATGCTGTTACCTTCCCACCAAAGGTGGTTCTTATTTTCCTACTCTCATTTTTTACGTGCTTTTGAACTGCTAGGTTGGCAAAAGCGTTCTTTTTAACAGCCTCACAAAAACGTAAAGATATGTTACTATTAAACATAATTAACTATTTTCTAGGCATTATTTCTGTTCTGGTCTGTATACTCATGTAAAGTTTTCTTTCTACTATCAGTGCTGTCATTTTAAGGACCACCTGCTTGTTTCAACCTCATACTTTTTAAAATACAAACAGCTCTTCCCAATAATTGCTGTCTGTAGTAGAATGTACATTTAGAGGCAATGTTCCTGTATATTTTATAAAATGAAAATCAGAAATGGGAAATTGTATCAGGCCAACTGAGCTCTATTTATAGAATGATATAAAACTTCAAAGCAATCTTTCCTGGGTGAAAGAGAGATGGTTGTAGGAAATCTGCAGCTTGCTCCTGGATATAGTTGTAGGAACCATTAGTGGGGAAGGAAAGGAACTTGTGCACAAAAAGGAAGAGAAGACATTCCAAAGTAAATGACTAGAAGGGGCTGTTGCTTTTAATTTTCATTAAAAAAATAATTGATGACAATTATATATATAATTATATATTTATTATTGGAAGCAAGTCAGGCTAAGTGTTTAAAGTTAAATGTAAAATGTGCATAGCCCTACTTCAAAGACGATTCTGCCATATGCAGTAGATCAAGAATCATGTACTTCTTTCTGTTCATGTGTTTTTAGCTCATTAGTTGGACATTTCCTGAATTTTTTGTGGGAGTTCTAAGTTGAACTACTTAGAGCTCAATGCCATGGCTAAAAAATGGA